CAGGGCAAAAAATAAACTGTAAACTGGAGGATCCTACAAACAGCACCTGCAGATATAAATAATAGACTAATAAAAAGCATAGCATGCTATTAATATTTAATATAAGATCAATCTGTTGACATTCAGGTGCTTATACTTAATAATATACACAAGCACACAAATGTCTATATGCTGAAAAACAAAATAAACAGCACTTCTGCAGTGTTGTCACCAGTGTATTATGATGTTTCCTTACACAGGTGCATGACACTTACAGGTGAATGTCTTGGAGAACAGGACTATGTTTTATTGAATGAATATAAAACACTCATCATATTGTGGCTGTTACAATTAACAAATAAAAGATGGCCTTGCAGAGCGTAAGGATTCACGAAATTATAGACATGTACTTTTGAAAAAATTGTATTTAAAGTGTAAAAACCATCTAGTGACATTGACGGACATTTGCCTCTATCATTCCTGAAAAAAACCAAAAACATTGCTTATGAAAAGTACAAAAAAATATTCCAGAATGTTGGTTTTATTAATGAAAATATGCATAAATATTTTACTCTGATGGTGTAAGGGAGCCTTACATTTCAGCAGGTGCCCAAATAACTAAATCAGAACAAACCACCACGCTCCATCCACCCTATTGTTCTCTTCATCTGTACAAAGGGAACCTGCAACCAAAACAGACCCAGCGTCCTCACCACGTGCGTTATTGGGATTTTCATTGTGCTGACAAGACGGGTGGGTTAGAGCATGGCTCTGTTCTCCCTGCTGTCATCTGCACAACCCATCACCACTTGTGCTGGCATTTTGTACCCACGTGTGCTATTTGATGCGGAGACAGGAATAAGAGAGGGAAAATGCTCTCCCCATGTCTGCTCTGACTACCTTTTCACAGCCTAACTTTTGTTTGTTCTAGGCTTGGGAAACAAAGCAAAAGCACAATTCTCATGAAGGAGGACCCTGTGTGGAGCATGAACCAGTCAGTTAGAAGGAAAAGGATTGGGCCCTCAGAGTAAACGAATAAAAATTAACTTAGTCTTTTGTCATTCCTCTTTCTCAGGGCACTTGAAAATAATGATAGATTAGAATCATAAAATATTTTATGTTGGAAGAGACCTTTAAAGGCCATCTAGTCCAACTCTTTCCAATCTTTAACTACATAGGTTATATATATTCTCTTGAGGTGATTTGGGGGTTCAGTACACAGCAGTTTTGGGCCCTTGGTCTGTCACTTAGATGAGGTCAGCTGCACAATGCATCTCCCTTTCCCATCCATTATTATCTTGTACTTATTGCAAAACCAAATTTTATTTATTGAAATCCACATGAAGATGACAGATGAGAGGCTAAAACTCTGTCATGAATCAGGTAGTAACGGAATAGAGTTGGATGAGAGAAAAGCCTTAAAGAAGGGATTGAGTGCCTGAATCTTCCCTCGTTTCTTTTCCCCCACTAATATATCTGTTACAATATAAATTATAATTCTCCCTTTGCCTAAATCTTGTCCTACCTCTGTTTCCAGACCTCTGTGGCTGTAAGAGCACAACCATCACCATTTACAGTCATCTCCAAAGTAGAACCTTATGGCAACAGATGAAGTCAGATCAGACCACGTACTCACTTCCCTATGGGAATAGACAGCTGTCCTAAAAAGAGTCTTCTTAACACTCACAGGCCCATTTCACATGGTACTCAGAGCACAAAATTACTGTGGCAATCAGCTGGATGATCCCACCAGTTATCTCTCTGTCTGCCTGCTCTCCTTTTCCATTTTCTGGCTTTTCCATAGGATGAATGTCATGGATAACAAGTCAGGGTGCAAGGGCCACAGCTTTTCCTTCTTTAGGTACACTGTTGTGTGGCAAAAAGAAATTTGTGGGCAGATTTCTTTGTTGTTCCTGCATGTGGGGCTCTTAATTTGATGAGCTGAAGGGGTCTTATGTGTCCTGGTTCTAGAAGTCAGTCTGTAAAGATTTCCAAAGCCAGCAAAAACTGCTGAGAGTAATAGGGATCTCCAGGATGAATCACTAGGCTCAGGAAAAACATTTCCACTCTGGTTTTGGGACATTATTTCTGCTTCTTCTGCTGGAATCTTAGCATGCCACCTCTCAAGTACTCTGTTATGACAAGATTGGCCCGACAATTAAGCAAAGATTGACTTTTCCAGCAACACCTACAGTGGCATTGTGTTGACAGGAAAAAAGGCTGGTTGTTGCCACTGCTGTTTAGTTCACCTTAAAACATATCTTGTGGTCTTCATGTTAAGCTGCTTTGCAAAATCACTCTAACACACGATCAGAAGGAAGGAAGGAATACTCTGAAGCTTGTTCTTGACAAGAAACCTAATCCTTCATCTTCCTGTGTGGCTGCCCTTCTCCTTTCCCCTCTCTTTCCAGCAGCCTTCTATGCCTTTTTCTGTGTACCACTCGTGCAAAGGCCAGGACTTCATACATCTCCTCTCAAGGTGGTGTTTGTGGTAGGAAATTCATGCCTTCAAAAATGCACACAGCTTGTGACAAAGACATATCTTCATCTAGAAAGCACCACACTGCTCTCTGTTGCTGTGTCAATGAATAATTAATAGAGTGAAATAATTATATGCAATAGATTTTACCTTCTTGTAATTTGCTACTTGTTCCCCATGTTTCTGGAAAGCAAATGACCTAGACTTGCTGAGTTCTTTTACTTTTAACCCATACCTGGCTTACCTGGAATTGCTTTGGTTTAGATCATGTTGCTTGGGCATGATATTTTAAAATATTTCAGACTGTAAGCGACTTTCTACTAAATAGTAATAAGAAGTGTTCCAGTAAATTCTGGTTAGGGTAGGAGCAGCTGCAGGGTAACAGGTTTTTGGATTAAAGGAACAATTATTTATCTGGCATAAAGGGTGCACATACTGGCTTAACCTGGCAAGGAGATGAACTTTAATATGACACTGATTTCAGTACAGTCTCACTAGTTATAAAATCTAGAGACTCATTGAAGTAAATAAATATGTAGACAGTGCTACTGTTGTCTTGACACGTATATATATATACACACGTGTGTATGTGCATTGTGTGGCAGATGCCAAACAAACAGATCTACTCAGTGTTAACGCTCTTCACAAATGTACCTGACAGACCAGAAGTTGGAAAACGTTGCTTGAAAATATTTACAGGTTTCTGGAAAGAAAAAAAAAGAAAATCTACCAAAGAAAACCCAAACACACCAAAACAACACAGACCCAAAATTATTTCAGGCGTGTGGCGCCAGATTTCTGTGTTTGAGCGCAAGAGCTCATTAATTGTAGCTTTGAGCTGTGTAAAAATGTGCATCAGTGCCCTTGATGTGCCTATATTTTGGTGATGCATGAATTGTCTCTATATCTTGTCTAAGAAGTGGACACTAATATCTGCCCTGGAACATAATTAGAAGTCATAAAATACCCTGCTGTACTGAGTCAGGATCTCACCCATCTGGGATTGATACCAAGAGATGTTCTTTTCTGGTGTTGCTGTCAGCACAAATGTTTAAATATACCTTCAAGAGCTGAAATATTTGGAAAGAAATTCTGTTTGCCTTATGTAAGCAAGCAATAGTCTGCATTTAATGAAGGTTCATCCTTCAGTCTGTCTCTGTGAGAAGTGGAACAGAGTCACCTTAATTTTAAAAGGGCTGCCTGTGTAAGTTGATAAAGAAAAAGGTGTAGGATCTTGCCTAAAAGGACCTTTTAATTGTCATTCTATTCTATTCTATTCTATTCTATTCTATTCTATTCTATTCTATTCTATTCTATTCTATTCTATTCTCATTATAGAATTCAGATTAGAAGATAAATTTTTTTAAGCGCAACAAAGTGAGCTGTTGTAGTTAAAAAAGATTAAGGTGTTCACAGGAAAAAAGAAACTATCAAGGTATTTTAAAAGATACAGTATGCTTCCTTTAAACTTGAGTGATGAGCACAGATTAATTCTGCTCTAAGAAGGTCTTCACATCATCATTCTCACATAAACCATCTGAACTCCTTCTAGTAGTGCATTGAATTATATGATATTTTGTATCACTGTCATATGCAGCTCATTCTTCTTTTTCTCATCTTTCCCCCAGGGAATAATAGTGCATGCAGTGGTAAGGTTTATTTCTTCCACAGAATTTTTTTGTTGTAGTCAGGTTGGAGAAGGCAGGTCAAAGAAAAGTGTTTTGTGCTTGGTGATGAAATGTGTGTTAGTCCTTAAGATTATTTCTTTTTTTTTCCCTGGGAGTTTGTTCTACTCTCTTGGAACAGTTGAAGAGAAAGTTTTCTCCCTTTCTCTCTCTCATACTAACTTTAAGTTAAAAGCTCAGATTTGCCTGAGGAGTTATTGATCACGGTCTTGACTGAAAGATTTGGTGATCATTCAGCAGTTTTAGACCCAGGCCAAGTAATTGCCACTCTCAAGAAACAAACAATTGCAGAGCTAACCTGAGATAAACTGGTGTAGCTCAATAGATTTCAATCGTTAATATCAGCTGAGGATTTGACCTAACTTTGGAAGGAATTTATGAGTTCAAAGGTGTGGAAAGCTGTTCTTGCTGCAAATCACTGCACACCCATAGTGTTCTTACATCGTTGTAATCCTAGATACTGTTATGAGAGTTAAATTTAACATTTCTCATTAGAACTAATGTCCTAATATTTTCACAAACTGTGTTTTTTTTTAAATTGTGAGTGAGGGTTCAATCTAATTTTTTAATCATACTAGATTGGATCAGGGATTTTTTCAGAGCATGAAATCAAATGATATTAAATAACCATAACAAGATGTTTTGACTGTAATTCTTAATAATTCACTATTCCCACACTGAAATTCCAACACATTTTTCTCAAAACAATAATATTACAGAGAGCCAAACCAGACATGCCCTGAGAAAAACCAAACATAACCGGCCACAAGAGAACCACAAGAGAATTGTTCTTCATGGCTGAGTTTGCCAAAACAAAGAAGAGGTTTCCCTCATTTTAATATTTCCTTTTTTTGAAGGTGGCACCTGTGTTGTCAACCCCACTGACCTGTTCTGCTCCGTTCCTGGTCGCTTGTCCCTGCTCAGCTCCACTTCCAAGTACAAGGTGACTATTGCAGAGGTGAAGAGGCGCCTTTCACCACCAGAATGCCTCAACGCCTCCCTCCTCGGAGGTATTTTGAGAAGGTAAGTTGAAGGTGAGGATAACAACTCCTAGACAATTGCTATAATTTTTTTTTTTTATTTTCAACAAATAGGCTTTATTCTTTTCTCTACTTTGCACTTGAGGTGAACAGAAGGGGATGGATCAGGAGGGAGCACTGGAGAATTACCAAGTTTACATTTTTCATCAAACTGATTATTTTGACCTCCTCTATTCAGTTACTCATCAGACGTGGATAGATGTTGCTTTGACTTGTTTTGAGCAAAAATTCAATGTGTGGAAAATTTCACCAGACCTACAAATCTAAACTCTTCCTGAGAAACAAGCTCAAAGCAAATAATTTTACTATAGTTACAGCCCTCCCTCAACAAAACAATAAAACACCGAGGTGTAGGGATGTGGTTTTCTTCCTTTGTCTGCATGTTTTTTTGAGCACAAAAAACCCCCAGAATAAGCTGGTTTTACTTTTCTCGTTGTGAGATATTAGGGGAGAAGGGAATACTTAGGTAAAGTTTTACCTCTGACCCTTCACTGACCAGGGCAGACACCAGCAGAGAGCAGGAGCAGAAAGAAGGAAAAGGGCAGACTGTGCCTCTCATTGCAAGAGGAAAACCAGGAGGCAACTGTAATCCAGCCAGGCACATCTAAGTCACGGTGTCCCTGAGGCATCAGCTCAGATGGCATCTGCTGCTCCAACAGCCTTTGATCAAAACTAGCTGGAAAGTCACCGGCTATTTCACTGCTGGCACTGAGGGCCACACTGATCCTCCTGCTCATACTGAAAGTCATTTTAACCAGCCTGAGACATGCAGGCACTCCAGAGCTGTCTTGACACATCTTGGAGAATAATGACTATAGACCATAAATTGTTTTCAAGGCATAAGTCCCATTCAACTGCCTCTATGGGCATTGGAATCCAAAATCTACATTCACCAAAATTTTCCACTTTATTTATTTCATTCTGGAGAAACCTTCAGCTAATTTTCATTTAAATACTTGTGCTGCAGATTTCATCAATACAGTGCAAGCTATTATGGATTCAAGGGCATCGACTTGAACGTGGGGGCTCACTTCTCTCCTCTGTTAAAATGCTTGAATGATCCCCACAGGTTTTTGACCCAGACTAAATATCTCCTCTCCCAAATTAACCCTGGGCATGGAGTTTGCAAAAGGCAGGGACTCCTCCCTGTCTGCAGTTTGGATGTGCCAATTCAGTTTTATGAATCAGAGAGAGCAATGGAGGAGATTTGGTCAGGTTGTAACTGAGAGTTTCACAGCTAGGCAATAGGCTCAAGCCCTCTGTATTTGACCAGGAAAGATGTAAGAAAACAAAATCTCATTGATTGTTTGCCTGAGACCTTGAAGGCTTTTTTTTTATCCTGTCAGCAGTCACTGGTTGCCTATTTTCCCAAATAGCTTGCTTTGGGAATAAAGTGTTCTTATGAATAAAAAAAAAATATTTTCAGAAGATATTTCCTGACAAACAGTGTGGCCAAAGTTGTGGTATTTTTTAATGCATAAAAACAATCATCCAAACGGTGATATTCCATGTTTGGTTTCCTCCTCTATCTGAAGGAACTTGAACATGAACCTCAAAATATTTGGTTAATTATTTTTGTTACTTAGTGATTATTTTTTGTAAGCTGATGGCTCCTCAGTCTTGTCTGGGGTTAATGATGTATGTCTTGTACAAAAAGCAAAGGTGTAGACTTTTATCTAATTAATGGACAGACAATTCATTTGGGATGGGAGATATCGGGGTTCCAGTCACTGTATTATTCATTGTTTAAGTATTTTAACATTAGTTATTTGCTGTCAGCTGACTGCTGCATTTGTTTGAAAGGTACAGGTTAAAATTCCCTCAGGCTGAGGAAGAATTTGAACCTACATCTGCTGCATAGGTGGATTTGTCTGAAATGCCTCAAACACTGAGGTGCCACAGAAAGCAGCTGGGACACACCAGGACCCATTTTGTGACAACAGTGGGATGGAGGTGTTTGGCATAGGGGCACAGACAACCAGTGATGGCTGAGATTTTAGCTTCAGCATTTCCTGTGGCCTTGGCCTTCTTACTTGTGAGTTTTGGGTTTTGTAGACAACAGTTCTAAAAGCCCAGGTCTCTACATATATTATAGAGGGATAGAGCTGGTTTCCACATAGACATCTACATTTAAGTAGATATCTGGCTTCCTTTAATAGTCAGACGAGCCAGATGAGTAAAGTTCACTCACTGTGGATATCTGTTTAATCTAATTGTAGAAGATCATGTTTCTGTCTAATTTGTCTTTGGAACCTGGCTTGGCTAAATCAGGTACAAGTGTTTTCACTGTCAATATTTACATTCAGTCACTGTAACCCCAGGTGTCATGCCCAAATCAGGTAACTGGGCTCCACTAGGTGGAAACTGCCTGAAGATCTGATGCCCCCATGACAGACATTAAAACCTCTAACTCTGCCAAAAAGCTGGTGTTAAAGAATCACCTAGATTAAAGAATCACCTAGAGCAGGCAGGAAATTAAGAATACAACTCTGAAATATTTCCCGTGGATGTCACTACTGCAGGCATTACCCCATGTATTTGTCAATGAAGTATGCACAATTTCTAGGCTTATATAGGAGAAAGGTGCAGAATAATGACAAATATCTCTCTTTCCTGCTGTTCTCTCATGACAGAGCAAAATCCAAGAACGGAGGACGCTGCTTGCGAGAAAAATTAGACAGACTTGGACTAAATTTGCCTGCAGGAAGAAGAAAAGCAGCAAATGTCACACTTCTGACTTCCCTGGTAGAAGGTAGGGTCTCTAATATTGCAATATAAAATAACCATAATTAAAATGTTTCATGGCATGCAACCCTTTTCAGCCATAGGGTTAAATTCCATAATCTGTATTTTGTATAAAGAGACCTGACTTGCCTAAAGCCACAGAAAGAGTGAGTGGCAGAATGGAAGTTTACTCTGAGATATCTTGGCTCCCAGCAAGTGTCTTGGTCCTGCAGTTTCCTCAGCATTGATTTATGCTTACAAATCGATGTTCTGAGTGTTCTTGTGAGAGAGATGAATGTCTTATACTAACTCTGTAAGTAGGTTTGTTTATCCTCCTTTTTTTTTTTAACTTATGAATTTCCTGGAGCTGGTCCAAAAATGTGATGATTTTTTTTTTTGTCTCCCATAAGAAAGCATAATATTTAGACAAGCCTTTTCCCTACACACATAAATGAATGAAATCTCTTTTCAGATAATATCTAGACAGGCTCAGGAGATACTTTCTTGGCCTTTATTTGTTGTTTAAATATCATTCACCAAATACTGCCAGGTTCTTCAAACCTTCAGCTGGGAGATGCAGGTTCAAACCCCTCAGGCAAAGGGAAGAAACTCTACCTGCATCTCTTCTGTTCTGGGTGAATCTACTAAGTACCCAGTTTGTTGTTTGGCTGTGAGTTGCAGCTCTGGGAATTTCAGATCCCTCCTCCTTGATGCTGAGAGAACTCAGCTCATCCTAAAGGTCAATACCTTCTACAGTCATAGCCTGAAAGGACCATACAGATCTAGGCAAGTAGGCTGAGTTCTCAGAACGTATTACCACAGAATTACAGAAGGATTGAGGCTGGAAGACTCCTCTGGTGATCTCTCAGGCCAATCCTCCTGCTCCAAGCAGGGTCAATGAGAAGAGCTTGCTTAGGACTTCGTGAGTTTTTTATTATCTCAAAGGGTGGAGATCCTTCAAGACAGAAATCATCAACACTGGAGATTTTCAGCATCTGTGACAAGGGACCGAGATTTTCAGGGGTCACTGAGCACAGGGAAGTTCAGTGGGGCTGCTCTGAAACACAGGTGTGTCCATATTCCACCTGCTTGCAAGAGAAAGCTCTCATGGAATTACAGTCTTAGAAAAGGTAACAAGTTAGAGGAGCAAGGGCTGTTCCCACCTTCAGGCATCTCGGGTCAGGGCAGATTAATCACAGCTAGGTTTTATTAGTAAACAGAGCAATGGCTTTAAGCTGAAATCAGAAAGAAATTCTTCCCTATGTGGGTGCTGAGGCCCTGGCACAGGGTGCCCAGAGAAGCTGTGGCTGCCCCTGGATCCCTGGAAGTGTCCAAGGCCAGGCTGGACAGGGCTTGGAGCAATCTGAGATGGTGGAAGCTGTCCCTGCCCATGGCAGGGTGTGGAGCTGGGTTATCTTTAAGATTTCTTCCAATACAGACCACTCCATGGCTCTGGGATTCTATGTGACTAGTTATTTATTCATCAGAAGAGACTGAGAGAGAGGGAGGAACCTGTCTGACAACTGCTGGCCTGGGGCTGATGGCTGAGAACCTTTACTGTAAGTCAGGGTTAGATTCCTTCTTCCTAGGAATGGAGCTGTGCCCACCTCCCTGCCCTTTATTCAAAGCCAGTAGCAAACCTGCTACCAAGCCTATGTCGGTGTTGCTTCTGTTCTTGGACTGCTTTGCTGTGGGTCGTAAAGATAAATCTGATGTGCCTGAGCTCACTTTGGCAGAGACCTTTTTGCCTGGATATGCTGTGAATTTTATCCCACAACTGCTGGCCTGGGGCTGATGGCTGAGAACCTTTACTGTAAGTCAGGGTTAGATTCCTTCTTCCTAGGAATGGAGCTGTGCCCACCTCCCTGCCCTTTATTCAAAGCCAGTAGCAAACCTGCTACCAAGCCTATGTCGGTGTTGCTTCTGTTCTTGGACTGCTTTGCTGTGGGTCCTAAAGATAAATCTGATGTGCCTGAGCTCACTTTGGCAGAGACCTTTTTGCCTGGATATGCTAACTGTGAATTTTATCCTATGGAATTTTTGGGAATGGCACCACCATGTTAACATTCCCACAGAAAACTAAGTGAACCTCATTTCCTGTCTGTGTAACCAATTCTGGGTAAAACTTGGTGGTGCTCATTGAATTCTTGGTGGTATAAGCTGTTCTCACTTTGGACATGCAGATATTCCTTCCAGGTGGAACTGCACAATTTCTTCAAGGAAAACCATCCGTCAATGGTTCCTGCTGCTGGAAGAGGCAGAAATAGAATGACATAGGTTTATTCTGTGGTTCAGAGAATCCAGAGAGACAGCAACAGAGGCTTTTTCTGTTGATAGCCATACAGAAGTTGAAATAATAATAACAATTTCTTAGTTTTATTAAATCTCTAAAATATCAGGTACACTCTGTGGACCACTCACAAGAACCCAGGATTGTGTCATTCTTGACTTCTTTAGATGGTTCTAAATTCATTATTACTGAAGATCCTCACAGTCTTCAATATATTGAGGTTTTAATATCTCTTTAAGGTAAAAGCATGCCCAACCTCTTGAATATCTGTATGATGTAGGATAAGGCAAAATTATTTGCATTATTATGTTTATTGACCAAAACCAAGTCAAAAATCTCTGGTATGACTCTTCTTCTTCATGACATACTTCTCTTCCTCTAAAATATACTGAAATCATTGAGTTTTGGGGAGTCTGCTAAGCTCAAGGAGGAACTGAAATTTATTTCTAGGCTGTGGCTGTCACATGAAGGTCCAGATTTTATGAACATTACTCTGTGGCCTCCTGTTTTCTGCAAAGTTTTTTCTCTTTGGAGTTCTGCTCTGCTGCAGGATGCTTAGTGCTGGCTGGATCAGGTTGCATCTTTAGAGACTTTGTTAGGGGCGTCTGCGGCCCAAAATAAGAATTGTGTGACAGATCGGTTCTGTTCTCTTTGTCATGCACATAAATCAGCACAAGGAGCGGGAAGACAGACAGGGAGGGTGAAGTCAGTGTCGCAGGACTCTCCTGAGCAGTTTGGGGACACATCTTTGTGCAACCTGCAGGCGAGGGATGCCCTCTAGTGCCTGGACTAGATGGAGGGAAAGGTCATTTTTGTTACGAGCTCCAAAATGAAAATTCTTACATATTAGCGGTAAAATAAAGGCTTCTCGGATAAATACTAGTCTTTCCAAGGCTAAGCTTTACCGCGGGGTCAAAAGAGTCAATAGCTTCTCCAGTGGGAGCAAGGAAGGATGTGAAAAGAGGGGGTGTGTCCCCTTCTGTTTGGATGGGTCACTTACAAAGCATAAATGTGATTGCAGGTTAAAGCAGTGCATGAATGATTTTTAACCATCAGATAAAAAAAAAATTAAAAAAAAGAGAAAAACTAATAAAAAATTCTAGAGTTTGTTTTTCTGTCAAATCTGATTAAGACACTAAATTTCCTAGACACAGAATTAATGACATTCATCATTTGGGGACCAAAGCTCTTGAGAAAAATAGGTCAGTGGTTTCTTTTTTCATCGTGCTCTCAACTATCACACTTCTCCCCCACCAGCCTTTGTTTAAATATCCTTCCACTTGTTCCTCCTCCCTTCTCACCCTACAAATAGAATAAACTTTCCTTCCACCTCCCGCCTGTCCCTCCTCCCCTCTGAGTAACATTTCTGCTGGGTAGAGCATCCGGAGGAGGCACAGGCGAGGAGAGAGTGGGAGGCTCAGATGCCGAGTGTCCCTCTCCTGGGGACACAGCTCCTGCCTTGGCTGTGCCCAGGAGCAGCTCTCACTCCTGCTGGCCCTGGGGGACCCTCACGCTGCTCCTTGCACCTGCCCACAGAAACCTTCCCAGGTGCTGCTCTCCCCACCGAGGCTTCCCAGAGCTGTCCCCGCCAGTTCTGCTCCAGCACTTGTCCTTTTCCATCACGCAAGGCTCTCAGGTCAATTGTCACGCTGCGGAGGAGAGGCAGCGCTGCCAGGAGATGCAGAGCTGGGTTTAAGGAGAGCCCGAGATTCCCAACATCTGCTCTTTATCCCAGCAGGAGGAAAGAGCTGGGGGTGTCACACACGGGGAAATTGGATTTCAGGTTGAATTTAGATTGGAACAAGGCAAGTAACTATAACAGACAGGGGTTTTAGCTGTTTCTACCTTGATCATGATTCCTGCCGTGAGGTAAATAACAACTAGGCAGAAGATGGGAAATCTAAGGTAAAAGAAAAAAGGTCAGTTCATCCACATTTCCAACATTTACACATTTTCTTCCAAAGTAAATGTTTGTCTGAATTACGATGTAGAAAAAGAAAGAACATATTCTATGACATTTTGTATAAACTACTTTCCCCCACCAAGCAGATTTAATCCTACTGTACAAATCAAAGGGCTATCTATTCACAAAAAAAATGTATATCACAGTACACTTCTAAATATCAAATCATCATTTGTTCCTGGTTTAAAATTACATCTTTGCTCAACAATGAGATAGGAGAAATTGTGCTCTGCAGTGTTCTCAAGTACAAAATTTTTAAATTTTTTGTTTTATTTAGAATTTGTAGTTAGAATTCAGTATGCCTGCTCCTTATCCTATATGCATGTTTATATGAATAAATATGCATAGCTCTAACATGAATTTTCAGCATATGTGAGCTTTCTATTTCTAGAAAAAATACTTTAAATTTTAATTTAAATTATTTTAATTATTACTTAATTAAAAACAGTAATTACATTTGTAGTTACACTTTTACTAATCCATATCCATGAAGAGATAAGTAATTTTGTTTCTTTTTGCTCAAATGGTTTTATATCACAGTCACAATCCCAACTTGAGACAGGTTTTATACTTTCGAATAATTTTCTCAGATTATCAGAACAGTTTAGTATAATTTTCTCAGCTCTAGCAAATAATATAAACCATCTTTGTAAATATAAATTTGAATGAGAATTCACATTTTCATTCCCTTTTTTCTAACAGCAAGTGGAAACAGTCACATTTCAGTCACTTAGTTGTTGACTATGTTAAATGAATGCCTGCATTTCAACACAAAAAGCTCTGTTCTCTTGAAGAAACCAAGACTTTTCCAAAGGTTAAATGTTTAAATTCTTTGCTGTCTACATTCCTTGTATTGTTACTGGGACTGACTGGGACTATGATGAAACTGTCTGGAGAACTGCAATTCCACCTGATGACAGCTTCAAAGGGTTTGACTTTTATTTTCTTTCCATGCTGGAATGAAGATAAACCTATAAAGTATTTTAACAGAATTTAGTTGAAAAGGAAAACCTGATGCTCTTCTGCAATAGATTTACTCTGTAAATCTTTATTTAAGGAAGATTAAAAGCGTATCTGAAATAGACATTTGTAAACTACTCTACAGAAATGTAAAAGCTATGGCTTAAATTTGTACCCTTTCTCACCCATGAAGAAGCCTGGGACAGATATTTGAAATACAAAGCAATCAGTCAGCTCTATGCCTGTTCATTCTGATTCTCTGTTATTTTATCACAATTTTAACATATTTTGTTTTCACTGAAAATTATTTTACTTTTCTAGAAGCTCCAAACTAAGTGGAATTTTTTTCTCCTTCCAGCTCAGAGATACTGATTGCTTGTTAATGTCTTCATTCTTTTTAAGATTATGGAAAATCATGTTTTAAAAATAATCCAAAGAAAGCAGATGATTTTGACAATAATCTTCAATTTTTGCTGTAAAGTTGGTTACAGTTGCAGAGGTTGTAGCTGGCTGCAATCAGCAAACAGATTGCCTGGGAGTGGTGCATGGATTTTGTCAGTACCTGAATAAATTGGGGCAGATAAACACACAGTAAAGCATTTTCTTGTGGAATCAAAAGGTGTTTTTCCATGAAAACTCCAGTGGGAGAAGGGGAGAAAATAATATCTCAAAAGAAGGAGAAGAGAGTTGAAGTAGAGGTCAGTGCATGCAGTTTCTTATTCCTCATACTGTCCCTGGCACAGGACCACTGTTTCCATGGAACTTCTCCTCTTCCTTGGCTTAATCAAACCTTGCTGAGGATGGGATTCATCTCCCCACCTTCATTGCAGTTGCACCTTCTCATGTCAGATCATAGTAAATAGGGAGAAATCAGCAGTTCTGGGTTTTATGATTTAATTTCATGATTAAATGAAGTTAAGTTCGTAATTAAACATTTCATTGTGTTGCTCAGAACAGCTGTGGAATTTCCATAGCTGGAAACATTTAAGACTGGGCTTGGAAAAGCCTTGAATAACCTCATCTAAGGCAATGCTGTCAGCAGAAGGTGATTTCCTGAGTTCTAATCTAGACTTTCCATAATTCCTCTGATTCCTTTTTGTCTTCTATGCTAGTATAGGATGCTACATGCTTCAAGTGCTATATTGTCTCCATTGACTTGAAAGTATTAAGTCAGACATCAATATTGACATTTAATCTGATGAATTCCACTGCAGATATTCTCAAAGTGAGGAGCTGCATGTCCTGTATCTCTCCTGACAGCATCAGACTTTTGAACTTCAAAGAGCCAGAGTCCAATGCCGCTTCTCCTGATGGCACTCAAACACACAACTCTGAAAAAAAAAAGAAAAGAAAAAAACCGACAACCCCTGACTCCAAAACTATTCTGGAGCACATCTCTGTTAGTCATTCATGCAGATGTGCTTCAACACACGCTTCTGGTAGCTGACCTATTTCTTCTTTCTGCAATGAGATGAGTGCAAGTGTCATCTGGAAATGCCTATTTCCCACCAGGCAAAGACTGACTTAGGCACAGCTGTTCACAATCCAGGCAGCTGCTTTTGATCAGATAAATCCCACACTGAGGTTGTGAGAGTCACAGCGTGCAGGTCAGAGTGTTCAGTAAACCCTAAAATTAAATTCTGGATTCTCTGAGCTAGTGAAGAGGGTCCTGTCCTTCCAGAGGCATTTGGCAGTCAGCACGGAGTTGGGTCCTTGTGTTCAGTCTTTGCAGTGAGGTAGGGAGGTGCTCAGTGCAACTGCCTTCTTCATAATTTTCCCTTATTGTTTTGCCTGGTCAGTTTTGTTTGCAGTCCTTCTGGAAAGAAAATTATTTATTGAGTTCTCCCTTAGAGTCTGCTCTTCTCTGGTGTGGGGCACTTGTAGTGTTGGTTTAACCTCTAAGCAAATGTACTGGAATGTGGGTTATCCCCACGGGTTTTTCCTGGGGTAGAGGGCTCTTCTTCCATTAGACACAGGCAGTGAAGCACCAAAGGCTGACTCAGTTTTTCAAAGTTGTTTATTCCTACTTTCTCCTCTTTTCCATACCTTGAATATTGATGATGAACAGGGCTTGCAAAATTGGGCAGCTGCCCAATACTCCCTGGTGGCAAGACAGGGCCAAGTGTCTTGGCCAGTATTTTCTCCTGAGAGGGACATCCTTCCACCTGATGAGAGGAATATCCTTCCTATCTTCGGGCCAAGTGTCTTGGCCAGTATTTTCTCCTGAGAGGGACATCCTTCCTTCCATCTGATGAGAGGAATATCCTTCCTATCTTATGCCTGGCACCAGCTGATGGCTAAACATCAACATTTCAGGCCAGTTGGGCTGAAATGTGTAACTAACCTGAGAATGTCTGTCTACAGAAGTGACTTGATAATGTTTGGGGTTTTTTTTTAAAGAGTGTAATAAACTCTGTAACAATAATAACAACAATACAATGATGATGATGAGGTGATAATAATAACCCTAAGAAATGACTGACCCATTTTGTTTGACCGCAGGGGAAGCACTGCATTTGGCCAGAGATTTCGGCTACACCTGTGAAACAGAGTTCCCTGCCAAGGCAGTAGGAGAGCACATTGCCAGACAGCACATGGAACAGAAAGAGCAGACAGCGAGGAAAAAGATGATCCTAGCGACGAAGTAAGGAGGGAGGGGAAGCGAAAAAAGAAATCGGTCTGTCACTTCTCCATGTTGGATCTGTGGGCTGGGGGAGGGAGGAGTGGGAGTATGGAGCTGGGATTGTGGTGACTGCTATCACAACAGAGCTCACTGACTGGGGGGGAGCAATCCTCCTCGGAGATGCTGAAAGAGGGACCTTATTTACTGCAGTGGGGGTTTAGTGGCTGTGCTCTCACTGCCTGTGGTTAAGGGGGTACGTACATCTTCCCAGAAGCTTTGGTTTAGATGAGAACGGAGGGTATTAGTACATGGTAAGATCTATGGGATGGAAACTGGCTTTGTGTCCTGTTTGTGTGCGAGCAGGAGATCTGAGCCTTTGCTGAAGTGCTGGTTACTGTTGGATAATTACCATTAGTCTGCTGAGGGAGAGCTGGTTTGCAGGACAGATCCTCTCTGGATGCAAACTGCAAGAGCTCCCCTGAAGTCAAAGGCACTGGAACAATGTACAACAGCAGGGGAGCTTTGCTAAAGACATTAAAGACACAAAGAGGCATCAGACTTCACTCTAAACAAGCCACTCGTCTCCCTGGAGCAGTAACATCATGTTAGGATAACATTTCATCTAGGTTAATTAGCCTTGATGAGGGAAGAATTAGCCTTCATGAGCCATGGGAAACAGGAATAAATAGTCTGTGTGGAGTAGGGCAGACCTGCCCTAGGTGTGTGGTCTGACTGTGTGGGGTAACCTTGAACACGTTTGCAGTCTTGCTGTGCTCACTGCAGCATTATATTTGAGGCTGAAGTAGAGCTGAGACCACAAATCTGAGCTCTGAAATCATCCCCTCCATGCTGGAAGTGCTTGAAAACCCTTCCAGGCTGTGATATATTCGACAGGGAGGAATTTCCCTGTACTAGGGGAAAGGGCTGACCAGCAAGATGAATGTCCTGACATTTGCCCCACCAATGTCCTTCTGCTTTGGCAAAATTCCTGGCCTTGGTGTCCCTCTTGTATCCAGAGCACTTTGCCCTGGCAGTGACCCAGAGATGAGATGCACTCAAACATCTCATGCTTGTGAATCCCACGAATATGTCTATGGTCCTTCCCTGGGGTGATAAAAGCATCACCATGTGGATCAGTGGGAATTTTCTGGATGTGATGAGAGACCTCATATACCACATTCCTAATTCCCCTGTAAATTAAAAGGAATAATGTAAGTGGATTATTATATTATTCTTACTTCTATCCACATTTAAGGGCTCCAGGGGTTTCACAGGCATGAGGATATACCAGCTGGCCAGAAATTCCTGTCTGCAAGCTCCCCATTTCTTTGTAGTGCCCCACCAATGTCCTTCTGCTTTGGCAAAATTCCTGGCCTTGGTGTCCCTCTTGTATCCAGAGCACTTTGCCCTGGCAGTGACCCAGAGATGAGATGCACTCAAACATCTCATGCTTGTGAATCCCACGAATATGTCTATGGTCCTTCCCTGGGGTGATAAAAGCATCACCATGTGGATCAGTGGGAATTTTCTGGATGTGATGAGAGACCTCATATACCACATTCCTAATTCCCCTGTAAATTAAAAGGAATAATGTAAGTGGATTATTATATTATTCTTACTTCTATCCACATTTAAAGGCTCCAGGGGTTTCAGAGGCATGAGGATATACCAGCTGGCCAGAAGAAATTCCTGTCTGCAAGCTCCCCATTGCTTTGTAGCCCCTTAACATCCTGCCTCCTAGCTGAGGATTTGTCCCATTCACGGAACACAATTCAACCAAAAGGATGCAAATCTTCCTCATTTTCGCCTGGTTTTAGGGAGAAAGCCATGGGTTGTAATAATTGGTGGGTCATTTTTATGTCCTGTCCCCAAAGGCTGTGCCACTCAGGGCCATATAAGAGTCTCACTACCCTTTCCCACCACCCCCTATCCACTTTCTCAGCCTCCTTCCCTACTGAGATGAGGTACCATGAGCATGGACTGCCTCCAACCCCCATGAACTTCAGGTTTGTAGCCTGTTACCCAGCACTTGTTAGGAAGAAAATTACTTTTCCCCTGACCTATCAGTTAAAAGCACCAGGAAATTACTCAGAGAGGTCTGCCAGTAATAGAAAGACCACATCCTACTGCAGTCAGAGCTGGTAACAAGGACAGATGGGTCAATGTGTGTGTTACTACTGCCCTCTCCTGCCTGCAAGGAGAACAGGGATTCCCATTCCTGCCCAGGTGTTCAGGAGACACAAGTCCATGACATCACAACATCAGCATGGCATTTCCCAGCCACGCTTCACATGTCTGGTGCAAAGAGCTCTAGACAATCATCACAACTTTCAAATGCTCACCAGCCATACTGGAGCTCTAGGTTGGCAATTTCAGCAATTCCAAAACTTCTCTGACTCATGGGCTTGACAGTGCTGATACCAGGAAAAGCAGGGCATTATTATGCTTCTACCAAAACCAACACAGTGGTAAGATCACTCATGGCAAGCTTTGTCTGTGGAAAGAGCTGGAGTGCCACTGCCTGTGTGTGCTGCTGCTGCCCACTGTGGGACAGAGCCAGAAGCCCACAGAAGTGCTCATGTGTGTGTTCCTGAGGAAAAACAAGTGGAAAGGGTAAAATGATTTCCACAGGTGTATTTCCATTATGGATTTAGACATCCAAATTCATTGGCTCAGTTCAGCTGCCCAAATGCACGCACTGCCATTGGAGTTGAACTGGGTTTCTAGTTTGGCTGTGAGCTGCTGCTCCAGGGGCACACAGTTCTCTTTTTGTTACTGTGTTGTGTCTGCCATAGCCATGGATGTCTTGGGTATTACAAATCTGCATGTGGGTAAGGAAACAGAGCCCTAAATGTCCACAGTGATGAAGGCTCCAGTGTCCAGTAGGAGCTCCCAGGCCTCCTTGACATCAAGGGCATCCAGACCTTGTAAGCAAGCAATCCACCCACCCTGAGAGGAAGCAGTTCAGCTGCCATGCACAGAACTGTGGCCCATGGGCCAGTGAAAGCTAAAAAATGATACTTTAGATGCCAAAAGCCAACACATGGAAGCCACTGAGCTTAAGTGACTCTTTTCTTTGCCCTGCTCAGCCCTACCTGGTCTGAGACCATGCTGATAGAAATACAGAGAACAAAAACAGGACCATTGTCCATCAAGGAACAAATCACATTCATTCTGTGAAGTTTAAACTGTTTCATCTCCCGAAGCTACCTCATGGAAATGGTCTCTTCCATTTGCAAACTCAGCACCTGCCTGGGACAGTACAAATTGATGCAACAGGATGGTACCATGGTCTGTTCTAACAGTTTTATGGACTAGACAATGAAGAATGAGTGCTCTACTTAATAATTGTCATGGGAAGAGATGATTGGGCTGTGTAGGCACTGTTCACTGATGAACACAAGTATCAGCAATGGCAGGATGGGAATGAAACAGGCTGAAAAAGAGCTGAAAGGGTCAGAAAAGCATAAGCAATGAAACAAACCAGTCTTTTACTATTCTCTTCCTTTCTACTCACCTCCTTGCACTGATTGTCTGGGCAAGTAAATGGTTTTCTGGATGGACCAAAATGCTCCAAAAAAAGAATGAATTGTCAGTATTTTGGCCAAAGAGTGTTGCTATTGGCCTATCAACTCTAGAAATGTAAAAAAAGGTCTCAGGATATGCATTCAATTCACATAGAAATAGAAAAAAACATAGTGGGACCTGGTTTTATAGGGTCTTTAAACATGGGTCAATTTTCCTTGCAGAGGCATGGGAGAGCCTAAGAGGCTTTACTGCAGGGTACAGAACCTGACCAGTTTGCAGCTTGGACAGTTGTAGCACTGCTGAAGGCTGTGTCAACTATTCCAGTTGCTGGAAAGATGCAGCATCCTATGGGAAGCATCCCACTGTTTCACAGCACAAGGTTTTCCTTATGAGAGACAGATTACACACAAAGACCAAACCAGAATACTGTGAATAATAATTTTATTGTGGAATTGATTTCAGCCAGCACAGACTACTCAGCATCTGGCTCATGACACTTCTCTGATATCTGGTCCTTGGATACCTGGCAACTCTGCCACACTCAGAATAAATCAGATTCATGGGTAATGTTTGCCCCACTCTTGTACTCAACACCAGACATTTGCTCTGGCCACTGGTAGGGATCATGGCCTGCATGGACTCTTGTTTTGACTCAGTTCAGAATTTTTTCTCTTTTTCTGTTCATATAGTGGATCATCTGACAATGTATCATAAATCATTAGATGTCTCCTATGCAGGAGTGACCATGACTATTTTTATTAATCTGTGCTCCCCTAGGATAGCATAACCATCTTCCTTTGCTTTTTCAAAATCACTGTCCAACTTAGCAAAAAACTGCCAACCCCTCTCCCTGTCACTACCCCAGGTGATATTTTACTGGTAGTGGAGGCTCTGAGACACCACTTTGCCTAGAAATCCCCTTGAAAAAAAAAAGTAGGTTACTGCCTTTTGCAGGTTTTCATGTATAATAAAAAAGTTTTTTTTCTTTTCTTTCAATCTGCCAACGTTCAGTAAAGACTTTTGACACGTGAAGATAGAAGGGAACTTAATTGCACACTTGGTTCTGACACTTTCCTTTGTTAAAATGAAAGAACTTTTAAGATGAACTTTTTCAACAGGTAGAAAGTAGAGGTTGGAGGAAGGAGAGAAGAGCACTGCTGACAGGGCCGACTGGGGATAGTGGATTGTTTAGAAGCCAAAATGACTGACTGTTTTCAGTTGTTGAAAGGAACTGTTTTTCCTCTAAGGACCTGATTCATTAAAACTGTATGCTGCATTTACATACATTTCTGCTGAATACCTCTCTTTGCCTGAAAGGCTGGGGTGATGCTGTCTTTTCAAGCAGTCGGTGTCTAGGTCCATGCAGATGATGAACATTTAGAGAAATCAGGCTTGGATGGGGTCCAGCAGCACAGCAGGAAATTGGTTTCTGCATCTCCTCTTAGTCAAGAGAGAGCTATCCAAGATCTCTGTTCCCAGCTTGTATCACTGTGTAAAGTGAAGGGTAAAACCAGCTTAAGCACAGCTTGGCACAGTTTTCTTGCTTATAGCTCCACGGTGAAGGACCTTCTAAAGAAAAACAAGCTGAGTTTACCACTTTTTCCATTATACCCATGTCCCAAAAGACAGCACTTACAAGGTGATAATGAAGAATCCAAACTTTATCTAGGACCAGGTGTGCAATGAGTCTCCTAAAAGGGATCGTGGACCAACAGAGATGCTCTGTAGTATTAGAAATTGCCCCTGGGCACAGTGGTTGCATCTATGCTACCAAGGTAAACCACACACACTGTGAGTCATCAGATTGCACTCGTCCAAGTTACTAAAATGTTAGAATGGCTCATTGAATTGTCCCAAATATCTTTTGGGCACGTCCTGAGAGACAGGGTTTATTCTCAGGAAGCCACGGGACTTAGGAGACCAGAGGGGTATAATTTTATTGGTGTTATCAGATGGTGCCAAATGGTCTGCAGGTGTGAGGGTGACACTGGTCACTCTACACTTCATGGGTGACACAGTTACCAGGCTACACGTGGTCACTGTGACCAGTACCAGGTTAATCCAACAAAGATCAGAGCTCCAGCTGAGTGTCCTCATCATCTGGATGTGATCATTCCCTCCTGATTCCCCCGTTAGTGCCTTTATTTCCAATACAGGCAATGGAGAACTCATGCTAATTTGGACAGGTCCCTTTTCCTTTTTGCAATTAACTGAATCATAAACCAAGTGAAAGCAAGTGATGTCTGTTCATTCATGGTCCAGATAATGGTCTTCTGAGTACACGAGCTAAATGGAACTGATTTGGTTTCTTTTTTTAAAGGTTTGTTGGTAGAACATTCCTAGGCTAATTTACAAACAACAAGACAACAACACAAGAACAAAAGGCCTTATTGTTGGGTGTTTCCTATTGCTAGGTTCATATAGAGGAATTCCAGGAATAAATTAAACCTCCAGGTGCTGAGGCATCCTGAGAAGTCTCAGGGAAGATTGAGTGGGCGAGGGAAAACAGTGAGACCACTTATCCTTTACACAGAAGACATGCTACAATGCTGGAGGGAGACCAGAGCAGACAGACCCTGAATTCTCACTATGAGGGGTCCTTTCTTCACAACCCCTTTGTCCTAAGGGTCAGGAGTCAAGAAGGCAAGTCCAAAATATCCAGGACTTCAACTTGCAGAAAAAGCAGTGCCCACAATTTACACAAGCCCATGTACAAGTATTGGTGTATTTACACAAACTAAATAATAGAGTAATTTACACATTTCAGGCATATTCTAATGCTAGTTCAGCATTTCCTTTAACCATAAACCTTTCTGCCAATGTAGGTGAGCTAAGCTAGACTTAACACTGACAGAATGAGACCTTTTCAGGGATTTTAAAATCATATTTTAAAATGTTAGCATTAATATGGTTTCACAGGAAAAATCTTCCTGTTCAAGAGATTCTGTATGTTGTTGGTTCTGAAAATTTGGGGCAGGTAAACCAGAGATGGATTTGTTTGTCTTTCATTTCTGTAACAACAATTCTGCCAAGCAATTCTGTTATGAATGAGATCATTCAGGATGTGGTGGGAATGTTTTGGGAATCAGCCTTATGGGGAAAATTACCAGACCTGTTTTATTGAAGGAGCTCCATTTTCCTTTTAGACAAATATGTAAAGAATTCCAGGACCTTCTAAGTCAAGACAGATCACCCCTCGGATCCTCCAGACCGACTCCAATATTAGACCTCGACATCCAGAGACATTTAACACATTTCAGGTATGATTTTGAAAGAGGAAACTAAAAATCCATACTTTTGATTTAGACTGCATATGATGTTTTAATGGTATTTGTTCCCTTACCTAAAAGACATGCAAATAATTAATTAGCATCCATAATCCCTGTTAGCTGTGCTTATTAAAAATGCAGGTTTGCCTAGCAATGTAGTTCAAGTTGGCTGCATTCAACCTGCTTCTAGGACCACAATCTGAGTTTGAATAAGATATTTTATGCATCTACTGGTCAAACTTCCCCATCTGGACAGAAAGTTTTCTTGCTTTAAATGTGAGCCAAATCACAGCTTACAAGTGCATGGCCCAGAAGCATAGAAACAAATTCTGAACCAATATAAATTAATCAACATAGAAATTATAGGATGAAGAGGTTGCATCCTTTCCAATTAAATAAATAGTTCCAGAAAGTCCTCTATGGTACTGAGATCATTTGACAATGTCTTACCAGGACCATTTCATTAACCCTTTGGCTTCCAAAGTAGGCTGACCTTCAAATACGTTACCTACTAAACAATTTTACTGCACTAATTTCTGAACAACGCACTAGAAAATCTGGGAAAATGAAATCTGACTCACACTAAAAAGCCAGACTGATGATATATTTAGACTCAGTTCTTGAGCAATATATAATGTACTGGTTTAAACAGTCTTAGAAACTGTTTTGAAGACAAAGACCCATGGTACATGCATATCAAGTCCAAACTTCATTAGAATTTTATCCTAATTGTGTATAAAAGTGTATAGATGTTTTGGGGTCAGAAAGATTTATTAGCTCAGAAGGTGCTGTGCAATTTCACCTTTTTGCTTTAGGTGATGTGTCAGATACAGCCAGGAGTGACGTGGCATCTTCCAGAGGGCCACTTTGAAATAGTGGGGTTATCTAAGATATCTATCAAAGATAAGTTGGATGAAACATCCTGGAGGTGCTCCTGTCTTTGCTCAGGCCACAGAGGGCAATGCATGACTTGCTGAGCCTACAGATTGTTAATTTTTTCCATCCACTAGCCAATATATGAAAAAAAATGTGAAGAACTGTCCCAGAGAGTTATTTACAAATCATAATGTTCAGCAAGTTTCATAGCCCTGTAAAGGCTTAGAATTGTGCTGTATATTCTTTAGCACAACCAGCTGAGCCACTCTTCTTTCACGGGTTGGACAAACAACTTCCATGTCCCAGTGTCCCAACATCCTAACATTACATGTTAGTTATTAACATTCTGATAGGTGCTGTGATAAATAATTTTTAGTCTCTCAGACTTTGAGTGGAATCCCAAAAATACACACCATTCCACTTCTTCCATACACCTGTTGAGGTGTGGAGAGGCAAGGGTAATTCCCCGTCCACAAATGCACGCATTCCCGACATTCCTGTTTATTCTTACACACACCTGTGTGCATCCTTCCTATGTAAGAGCACACTGGACCACCCCACTCCTTTCTCAAGCAGTGCTGTGCATGTGCACACACAGAGCACCCAGGTGTGTGTATTTTCCATAATACACATTTCAAAACACCCAACCACATGTGCACATCAAGAGAAACATCCTTATTTATGCAGAATGCTCATAGAGGGATTTTAATCAGCTACCTAAGCTTGTGGAAAAAGAGATAATTCCCTATTGCATGTGCACAGAGGAAATGTGATACGAGGTGGCTAATCCCCAAGGATTCCTGTGTTTAGAGTAGAAATAGCAGTCAGGATAAAATGCTGAAGGCTTCAGCTACAAAACTGTCAACTGGTACAGCTCCCATCCTTCCTTCTCTGATGCACATCAGTAGTTGGAGGGGAAAGCTCCTGCAGGCAGCTCTGGATCAGTCAGCACTTTCTTTCATGCCTGCTGCAGAGCTTAAGTGTTGGACTGAAGACGGGCACGTGGAGGAGCACAGGGCTCGATCCTACTCAGGGTGTTCCCTGGTCTTAAGTCAGAGTCTTCTCTGATTGTGCTCAGGGAATGAGGAGTGCTGCCAGTCCCAGAGGTGGAGCTAAGACCATATTTCCTTTCCAGCTAGTGTAGAGATGCTGTGGTCGGATCAGCTTCTGACCAGGATTTCTGACTCTGTTCAGATGCCTGTAGGAGCCTCCACTGCAGCCAGCTGTACATCTTTTTCCTCAGTATTCAGGAATCTCACCTGTATAGCTTGAGAAATCTGAATTAAACAGGTCTAACATAGATATCTACGTCAGTGTAACTAGAATTTCTCTCTAAACTCCATTGTCTGAACTGTCTGGTCGGATCTCCATCAGAATGGGAGATTAGCCAACCAGTACACTAGACATTGTGGGAAGCTAAATATAATGTAGGCAAAACCATCATTATTCCCATCCCCTAAATTCATCAGTCTTCACAGTCAGATCATCTCAGCACCAACTACCACTACCTGTCTTCTTGAGATTAAATGTCACAGAATCATAGAATGGTTTGGGTGGAAGGAACCTTAAATCTCATCTTGTTCCAAGCCCCTGCCATGGGGCAGCTAGAGAGTCTTTAATGTCCCTTCCAACCCAAACCACTCCATGATTCTCTGATATAATGAAATCTTCAGAAATCTGAAGAGATTTTTTATGGTCATAAAAAAGAAGAATCACAAAAATGTCTATTATTAAAATAATTTCTAGATATTGAAAAACTTTTTGCAGAGCTATAACATCAGATATCTACAGCAGAATTGGATCCAGCCTCTACTACACTGGGGTGAGAGGGAGTTTTCTTTAGGAATAAATTCCCCTACAGCTGTTCAGTAGAGTTGTGTACTCCACTTTCTTGTGATGTTACCAGTTCTATGTTAGTTATTAAGACACATCCTGTTTCACATGCATCTGCCACTCAGATCAGCATGCAATTGGACCAAATATCCAAATAAATAAGAGACCAATTAAAAAAATATATATATTTTAGATAATATTTCTCTCCTGTTGGACAGAGCACATACCTTCTTCTCTCTTCCATTTCACTGTCATAGCTGAGATTTAGCCAGGAACCTGAAAGCTTAACTGATACTTCTTCATGTCTTTGTCTTCTTAACCTGCCCTTACATCAGATGCCCTTACATCTGTTGCTTTTGGTTTTTTTATTTTATTTTTTTTATTTTTAACAGAATTCTTTTCTTGGTCTCCCAGAATCTTGTGTAAACTAGAGTTAGCAGAAAACCCATCAAAAATAACCCACATTCTGTGTTGCAATACCAAAGCCATAACACATAAACCTTTTAAATAGAAGATTTTCTGATATTATACTCACAAGATCTGTGTCTGTGTCTTGGTTTATACATACAGACTCCCTGACCTCATCAAACACCCTCCTAGCCTCACTTTCTTCACATGTAAAGTTGGGTATAGATACGTCTTCTACATTTGCTTTTGGGACACTTGTGTCTCTAAGAATCTGTGGTGTCTGGATATTTCAGATATCCTACTAATGCCATCCATCATATAGAGGAAGGAGATTATCCACTGATTACTGCAGTTGTATTTGATCCTTTAACTTCAAGGCTACATTTAATCAAGATGCAAAATCACACCCAGATCTTCTATTTTATGGATAAAGACAGCAAACCAGCAAAGGGAAAACTACTTTCTTGTAAGTGACACTCCTTTCACTGCAGAAACCTTATAAAAACAGACACAAAAAGTAATAGGTTCAGAATACTAAAGTTAGGTAATGAAAGCAATCAGCATCCTCATGGATTATTCTGTGTTCTGTCGAGCCATCCAGCTGATATGAAGCGCCCTTCCTGTGAAACTGTTTGAGACAAGAGTTTTGTCGCTTCGCTGCTCGCTGAGCCTGGAGCTGTCAGCCTCCTGCCAGTGCCTGGCATCACGCTGACGAGGTGACACCAAAAGTGACAGACAAGAAACCAGAAGCTCAGACTTTGGGAGCAGTGAGAAAGTAACATCCTTCTTTCCAAAGGGGAAAACGGAGCACTGAAACAGGTTTTGAAGCTCAGCGTGTTCTTTAAACTGTAACAAGAAGCCAAGCCCAAAGACTTACTTGTGGGTTGTCTTCAAAGATGTGCTCACCCCCTTCTGTACATTGTTCTCTCTTATTTTTTTTACACTTCTTTTCTTATCAGGAGGTAGAGCAGCTTCTGTTGTAATTCCAGTGATCTCAGTTCACAGCAGCAGCCTTCTATTTGGATGCAGGGACTGGAAGAATCCTGGTGCACAATGAAGTTTATGGTGAAACACCTCTGGTGCCCTCTAGAGTTCCCTGATTTCCAGGAGCTCCCTCAATCTTTGGATTTTGTTAACTGAGAGGAGCAACACTGGTGCCTAGCACTGAGGCACTACAGATCAACAAATTGTTTAGGTTTTGGGTTTTTTTTTTTATTTTATTTTTACTTCTTTTCCTTTTCTCTTTATTTACTGTTAGAGTGCCTTCTTCTGGGATCATTCCCTCACTTCCTTTCCAAGGGATTCCTTCTTTGATCTTTCCATAGTAAGGCCTCAATCTCCTGATGAACTAAATCCTTTCTAATTTCTAATATTTCATAGGTTTTTGTCATGCGTTGTATCTTACCATATTCCTTTAAAATGACAATTTACAGAGTCAAAAAACAGACAAAAATCTATTTTCTTTTTTTTTTTTATCTGATTCATTAAAAACTAGGTTCCATAATCATGGGGAAAGAAATATACATACATTCATCAAAAAAGCAAAAAAAAATCTTTGGGGGTGCTTATATTTTCAGCACAGCACTTAAGATTTCTTAAAGCATTTTAAGGCTTGTGTTTCCCAAAAGAAAAAGGAATGTCCTCCCCTTCTTTCCAAATTAAAAGGCTACAAAATTTATTGCATTTTGTCACAAGCATGTTTATAAATGTTATTCTTGGTCCTTCTCATTTAAGGAGGGCAATAGGTCTTCTTAGCTACTTTTCCTCACTGGAAAAATATATGGATGGTAGTAAATTGAATGAACCTCATGTGTTTCTTTGCCTTCCCATGAAATAAAGATGAACCACTAAACGTTTAAACTTTGGTCTACTGT